TTAAAACAATAAAGTTTTAATTGAAATTTATTTATAATATTAAAAAGTAAAATAAATAAGTACTAATTTCAATTAATTTTTATATAGTTTATATAAATAAATTTTCTAATTTGTATGTTATGTAAATAGTGATTGCCTTCTTAAAAAGATAGTATACTTAATAAATTATTGATATAAAATTAATTGGTGTAAGTATTTCACAAATTCACATTCACGTAAGTTCATCCCGCTTTAAATATAATTAGTAGTTAATATTCAACGGGTATATATATATGTTTGCTTTAGAAAATTAAAATTTAAAATATATTGATATTTAAAATGTTAGAATATTAGTAAATTATTTAAATACTTTTAATAAAAACTTTTAGTATATTAATTTATTAAAAATAAGTAAATCTCTTAATTACCATTTCTAATATTTAAATTATTAAAATATCTTAATTTTCTATAATTTCTTATTTTTTTATAATGTAAATATATTTACTCTTTTGATTAGTTTAAATTTCAAACTACAAACTACTAACCACAAACTTCTATATACTAAACACATCCTTAGAACTTAAGAATAACTATTTTTTTTTCTTTTTTTTTTGGGCATTTATGTTAGTTGAATTCTAAAAATTGTAGTTCAAATGAAAAGAAATTATGGGTAATGGTAAATTAATATTGCCTATTTCTATTATTTACAGTGAGTATTTTTAGATATAGATAAAATATAATTTGTATATGTGACCAGGGTAAATTGGAGAAAGGGAGAATAAGATCTGTGAAGTTAGAAGGCTCAACCCACAAAAAATAATTTCTATTTAATTAAGAGTCTTGACCACTAAGTTAGATTCTGAAAATCAAATGTAATCTATATTTATTACTTAATTTAAAAATTTTTAGATATAGAACCACGGATGAGTATTGGATATGTAAAACATTATCCCTTAAGTTACTCTAAAGAAAAAGATTCGGAGTAAACAATTATCCTCTTTCAGCTTTTTGAAATCTTGATGACTTGAGTTAACTTTTCCAAGACTTGGAAGTCTTTTTGGTCTTAAGTCAACTTAATTAATTACTGCCAAGCGTTCTGGATTGTGAATCACGCACGCACTAGGGTTGGTTAATTTTAATTCTCCCTTTCACAAATCTTTTGCCCCACCATAATATTATAGCTTTTACGGTTCTTGTGCTACTGTTGTGCAACGTGAAGACTAGAAAATCACATCTTTGCCCCAAAATACAAGTTTTAAAAGTCTTGTGCTGCTATCATGCAACGTGGAGATGGGGATCTTGGGAAATAACTGTCAAATCTTGGAGCAACCTTAATTTTATTGGTCATCGAGAAATCTATTCATTAAAATAAAACTCAAAAGGGGTGAGTTACACAATATGTCTTAAGTAATTTTTTTGGTTTGTGAAAAATGGTTTTCCGAAGACCAATATATGACATACTCTTGTGGCAAAAACTCACATATTGTTCTTAAACTTTTTGATTATGTGGAACTTTATCCCTCACCTTACAATATGTGATTTTATACCCTTTTGATATTTAAGTTTATGATTTTATACTCTCATGATATTCGAGTTTATGATATCATACCCTCCTAATGTTGTAAGGTGAGGCATAAAGTTTCACATACTCGAATACTAGAAAAGTATAAAATCATATAATATAAGATAAAAGATAAAATTTCATACACTTAAAAAGTTGAAGGGCAAATTGTGGGGGTTTTGCCCTCCTTTAATTTTAAAATATGAAGTTTTAAAATATTTTTTATGTAATTTTAAAATGTCTTTTTTATAATATATAAATAATAATTAAAATTTTTTTAATAGCTCTTATTAAAATAATAGATGCATATATCTTCTTAAATATATACACGAGAAAGAACATTTTTTCTTATTAGGAAGATAATTTTTTTAAATCTATTTTTTATATATTTTCCTTTTAATTACTTAAAATGTAAGTAAGAATATCATTTTTATTTTTAAATACCAATTAATTACAAAAAAATATACAAGAGGAAAAAAAAAAAGGATGGATAAGATATGAGAAATTAAAGTATATATCATGAATATTACATTAATTAAACTTCATGGTTGAAGTATAATAAAACCAATGCAATAGAAGACATGAAGCAAAGAAATTAACAACAAAAATAAACAACAGTATTCTCATAAACAACGTGATTGTAGGAAAATCATGAACCTCGCGTGTTTACACTATTGTCACCTGCGTGTTGACAGTTATATTGTAGTCTCGACAATCAAAAACACTTTTCAGTTTTTGAGTTTACATTTTCTTCATATGTTCTGCTTCCTTTTTAATAAGAAATTTTAAGTTAAATAAATACTTCTTCAAAATCGTAACTTTGAAGCTTTTGAAGATCAAGATAGAGACAGCAAAGAAGAAATGAACTTTAGAAGAAAATAAATACTTGAGATTTTTTTCATCAAATTAGTTTTACTTGTTCTTTTGTTCTTGAATTTTACCATATCAAATATTCTTATATTCATTTTATATTCATCTTAGAATATTTGATCTTCTTTTCTTTTAATTATAAACTAACTTAACCATCTAACACTTACAATATAATCTTATCAATATAATGTAGAATGTTGTGGTTTTTATACTTTCAAAGCTAATTACAATGATGTGGAGTATACATTATTGTTTTCTATGATTTTAAATGATTGAACATCATTATAATTGATTTGAAGATCATAATTGAGAGTAGGAGAAGATTTTAAGCAGTAGTCTAAACTTACATATCCAATGAATTGAGCTAGAGATGGACTAACATAACTCATGCGGTATTGGATTTTATTTTCTACATAAACTATAGACTTTGACATAACATATTACATTTTGTTAACTATTTAAATCCACAAAGATAGATGGTTAATAGGTGTAGATGAATTTAGTATAACTTGATCCTACGGTAACTTGAGAAGTGAAGACTTCTAAGGTATATTAATCTAAATTATATATTTATTGATTATAATAAAATCAAACATCTTAGAATTAAAACTCTTAATATCACTAAAGTCCTTGTGGTTTTTTCTTTAATTGGTTTAGCTCGTTAGGTCACTCAAATCATTTCATTTTAATTGTTAAAATAAAATTAGAGTTAATTAATTTATGTACTTAATTAGACTACAATTTCTGTGATGCAGTACTTTATTTGATCAGAATGATCCATTTTTCAAGATCCACTCAAAAAAGTATACAAGTTTCAAACTAAAGATATTATCATTAATAGTTTTCTTCTCAAAATTTGAGCACTTGAGTATTTACGAAGTACGGAATAGAAGCAATTTAGTATCTAATATAGTAACCTAAGAGCATCTACAATGGGAGTTACTACCACCAACTGCACATCATCCTCCCTCATTATTTTACTCAAGAAAAATGATTTAGAAACATCTTTTTTACAACATTTTTATACAAGCTTACAGCTCATTACATGATTAATTTTTTTAATTTATTTATGTAAAAATTATATAAAAGATTATAAAAAAAAATTGGCTCTACAAATTGCATTATCATGCACTCAGATTCCTAAACTTAAAATAATATATGGAGTAAAGAGTAAAATAAAATGGTGTTATATTTAGGTTACGTTACGACAAGCGTTTACCAGGGAAACCATCTCCCACTTCGACGGGCTAAAAGCAAGGTAGTTTGTACCGTACCATACCGACTAGTACAATCGGTATGTATCAATTTTTGAGGTGGACCGAAACGAAATAAGTTAGAATTTTGTTTTGATCAAAATTCGAGGATTTCGGTCAAATTTCGACGTACCGACCAAAATTTCGTATACCGACCGATACACTGAAATTTGACTGGTACATTACACAAGAATTAAAAAAAAAAAAAAAAAAGATTGCCTAGCCAAAACGGCATCATTTTGGCTTGGGGTGGCTTCTTCTTGACTTGAACCCTGCAATTTCAGATCGTGCCTCTCCTCTTTTCTCCAGCATCCAGCTGATCTCTCCTTTGTTCTCCTGCTCCAGCGTCTAGCCGCTGCTCTCTCTCCTTAAGCTTCTTCATTAAACCCTGCAATTTCAAATCGCGCCTCTCCTCTTATCTCCAACATCTAGCAATCTTTGAGGCTTGAGCTCCACTCCTCGCAGGTGGTCTAGCCACTCCAATCGCTACCGACGATCCAGCTCCAACCACTACTCTCTCTTCCACCATTCTCCAACAACCTAGCTCCATCTCAAGTATCTTCACATTTTCATTCTGAGGTTACTTTTTCTGCTGGTATGCATAGTCCCATGCCCGTGTTAAAAAAAAAAAAAAATTCAAATCATGTCCATGTTGAAGTCGAACTCTTTAGTCCTAGTATAAAATAAAAATGTAGGTGTCCTGGTATTTAATTTCTGCAAAAGGCATTTCCAGCAGATCTTGGAGACAGATAAAAATTGTAGCATGATAGGTTAGCTATTCTAGATCTGAATTGGATCTCATTTTTTTTCTTCTTTTATTACAATTGATTGCATCAATGTGCATCTACCAAAATCTTGTTTCAAATCTATGGTATTACCATGTGTTAGGAACTAATGCAGTGCCTTTCATTTTTTTGGTTGAATGCCAAGGGTTCAAAATCAAAATCAGAAACAGAAACGTTATTAATAAATGTTGAGTGCTACTAGTGAATGTGCATTTCTTTAAGTAGTTTTGTCATTTTTAGATCCATTTCTATTTCTTTGTAATTTGATGATTTAATTAGCAAGGTTGCTTTGACATTTTTCACTTAATTTTTATTGTGCAATTATTTGTTTTTTTCCTCGGTGGTTGTCTTTGTAAGATATCAGTTTCAAATCTATGGTTTAGGGTTGCTATAATATTTTTCATTTAATTTTTGTTATGTAATTATTTGTTTTTTTCTTTTGGGGTTGTCTTTGTAAGATATCATTATGAATACTAGTGGTTTAGAGACTGCTACTGGTGATTCTATTGGATCTGTCCTTTCTAAAACAGATGATCCTACTTGGGCCCATTGTTTGATTGTCCCACGCAAGAGGAAGCAAACACAATGTCTATATCGTGATAAGCTTATACAAGGGGGTGGAATTACTCGGTTGAAAGAGCACCTTGTCGGAATCAAAGGCAATGTTGGTGCATGCAAAAAAGTTTCAGCAAATGTAAAATGGCAAATGCAATAGTTGTTAAGTGAGATAAGGGAAGAAAAAGAAAAGAGAAAGAGACTTGGAGATATGGTTGGGAGTCAATGTGGTTCACAAACATTTGTTAAAAAAGATGATTGAAATTGAAAAGATCCCTCAATCTCAATCACATGTAGCACAACAAAAAAAGAATATTAATTCCTATTTCGTACCAAGGACAACTCTTGGAGCCTAGAAAACTATAAAAAGTACTTTGCAATCAAAAGAAAAACAAGACACTGCTAGGATGGCTATTGCTAGATGGTGGTATGATGCTAATGTGCCTTTCCATGCTGCACGACCAAAATATTATTTGCCAATGTGGGATGCTATCATATCTATGGGACCAGGTTATCATGATTTGAGAGGTCCTCTCTTAAAATGTGCAGTAAAGGAAGTTAATGAATGGCTTTTATCCTTGAAGTCAACATGGAATACTAATAGTTGCACAATTATGGCTGATAGATGGACAAATCAAAAACAACAACCAATAATCAATTTCCTTGTTTATTGTTCTAGAGGAAGTATGATTTTGAAGTCCATTGACACTTCTAGTTTGACAAAGGATGCTGAAACATTGAAAAGGATGTTTGATGAAGTGGTGAAAGAAGTAGGAGTGAAAAATGTTGTACAATTTATAATAGACAATGATGCCTCATTCAAAGCTGTTAGGAAAAGGTTGGAAGCAATGTATAACACATTTTTTTGGTCTCCTTGTGCTGCCCATTATATTGACTTGATGTTAGAAAATTTTTCTGATACAAGATACTTTATTGTGATTGATACTACTATAGGAAAAGCAAGAAAAGTAACAAAATTTATATATAATCATTCATGGGTGCTAGCATTGATGAGGAGACTATACCAATGGGAGAGATTTGTATTGTCCTGCTGTTACGAGATTTGCTACTCACCTTTTGAGCATCTAATGTTTATTGAAATTTAAGAAGGAACTTAGACAAATGTTTACAAGTGATGCATGGATTGGTTCTAGGTATGCAAAAAGCAATGTTAGGAAAGAAATATGTGAAATTATCTTGGAAGATAAAAAATTTTGGTCTAATTACATATTAGTTGTCAAAATCAATGCACCTTTGGTGAGAGCACTTCGACTTGTGGATAATAAAGAGAAGCCAAGTATGGGCTACTTGTATGAGGCAATTGATAAGGCAAAGGAGACAATAAAAAAGAATTTTAATAGTAGGTTGTCTCACTACATGCCTTACATTAATGTGATTGATGCTAGATGGGATAAGTAACTTTATAGCCCATTACATGCAGCTGATTGCTTTCTTAATCCAGGTATCTACTTTAGACCTAACTTCAACAAACAAACTACTGTTATGAAAGGTTTGCTTAATACCTTAACAACATTGATACCGGATGAGGATAAGCAAGATCTCATTAGTTCACAACTTGAGGAGTATTAAAAAGCTACGGGGACCTTTGGCATGAGTTTGGCTATTCGTCAGAGAGAAGTTAAATTCATATAGTTTTCTTTCATCTTAGCTCTTTTTTCATTTTGTTTAAAAAGTTTTTACTTTACTTATTTCAATGCACATTGTATTTTATTGTTTTTATAGTTGCATTATG